TTTGTCTCATGACATTGACCACAATTTAGCACAATGCAACATCTCCTCTCCCACTTCCTCCCAATAGGTATCGCTTCCCTGTGTCCATCCCTCTATACACTCCTACCCCCTGAGCTGTCTCCCTGTGCCTGAGCAGCCCTTCTTTCTCTCTTGCTTGTTCTCTCCAAGGCATGTATCTACCTCAGGTAAATGTTCAACTAGTATGCCTGTCTGCTGCTTGGCTGGAAGCTACAGGTGTGTGTTCAGTTCCAGACCTGAAGGGCAGCTAGGGGCCATAGTCTCAGTGGAAGAACCTAATATTCTTTTAAAGAGCAAATCTTTTATTTAGCTATGCTAACCAAGATTTCAGATGTAAATATACCTGTTCAAGACAATTCGGTAATTTACATTGAAACAGACTTTCCTGCATGGCAAAATCCAGACAGGCATTAAGAGAATAAGATAACAACTGAGGAACAAAGTACAAATATAGAAGAAGTTGAGAAACTGATATTTTTCTCTGGCCTATTTTCTGAACTCTCTTATATTTTCCTACATTGTTAATATTAGTCTCAATTTTCTAGACTATAAGGGAGATAATATTTCATTGTTGTTGGGCACGCTGTCAGTTGGGAGCAAGTGAGCTCTGAGAACAATTCTGTTTTTCATTCATTGTAAATAAATGTTAATGCCAACTGTATTTTCATTCTTATTTTTCCTTTTAGAAAAGGTAATTCCTGGAGTAGAGGGTCAAGAACTGATTTATCCTAAAAGGATCTCTCTAGTACAGAAGCGAGATGTTGGGCACACTCATGAACCTGACATGCAGGTATAGGTTTTGATTTAATAATACAATTTTTTGCTTTCACATGACAGTTCAAAAGGTGCTTCTGCCTCCAACTCAGAAGCAAAAAGAAAGAAAAGAGTCTCAATTTTTCTCATTGAGTTTTTTATAGCAATCCCACTATAGACTATGAAACAAAAAGGAGTAAGCAGAACTCAGCTCACAGTTGACTTCAGGCTTTGCGGGGAGGGGTGCCATTTAAATATTCCAGTTTACATGAGCAGTTCTACCAACAGATTGGGCGCCATTTCCAGGCTGAATTAAGGTGGTAGCATAGTGCCTAAGACACTTGACTGCTAACCAGAAGGCTGGCGATTCAAACCCACCAGCCACTCCTCGGAAGGAAGGTTGGGCAATCTACTTCCGTAGTGATACCACCTCAGAAACCCAATGAGGGGTCGATATGAGTCGGGTCTGACTCCATGGCACATAACAACAACAACATTTTCTGAGCTGTTGTTCATGGAGTGGAATCTCTGAGCATTTTGCTTTCCTAGCTATCTGAAATGTTAATTTATTTGCTTTACATATTCTGTAACAAATGTGGACAACTTTTCTACAGAACAAAAAGACTGTGTGATTTGTTGCTTACAAGGGTCTTTATTCTGGTGTTAAAATTCCAAAATATTGTTTTGAAAGTAATATATATTTATTGTAGAAAATAGATTTACATAAATAGTAAAAGCATCAAAATTAGTTGTTCTTATTTTACTATTATTCTAAAACACACAGGATGAATGTCCATAATATTTACCATTGCTGCTGTTGTTAGTTGCTGTTGAGTTGATTCCAACTCATGATGACCCCACATGGGCAGAGTAAAACTTTCCATAGAGTTGATCAGATGACCAGGCCTGTCTTTGAGGCATCTCTGAGTGGGTTTGAACCACCAATCTTTCAGCTATTAGTCAAGGCCTGAACTCTTTGCATTATCCAAGAATTCACCATATTTATCATTTGGTGGTTACATTTTAAGCATTTGGTTTTTAATTTGATCCATGAAGAATAGTAAGTTGTACTTCTCCAACAAACTCTGGGAGTGCAAACATTTCCCAATGCTATAGCTAGCTCTCTTTTTCCTCTAACAATCAGTTTCTCACTTTTTAGAATTTTCAGTCGTAACTAAGAAACATTTCAATTTTCCAAATGGTCCCATTGAGGTCTTCTTTTTTATTCATGGTTTAAGAAGATAGAAAATCAACTTTCGATCCCCTCCCATTTGGAAATAATGTCTAACTATATTTCTCCAATAGTTATCTTTACAAATAAATTATCACCAACTCTTTTCTCATCTTCTCAAACCATTTTATTGGTTGAAGGTACCTAGCTAAGGAAACAAAACCAGTTTTCCATCACCCATTTTGCTTTTCTTTTGTGATGTCTTTTCTGCAATTTATTGTCTTAAGATTTAATCAAAGCCAATAATAGAAAATTCCATTATGAATGTACATGATGAACTGGGAATGTCCCTAATGCCAGAAAGTAAAGAAGTACTCAAAAAACAAAACTTTTGGCATATGTTGAGAGAATACAGGAGTCAACTAAAAGAATTCTCAAAAACAAAGACAAGTTGAGAAAAAAAAAAAAAAAAGCAGTAGTAGATCATAAGCAAAAGTATAAAATAAATACACCATGAGATTTACTGATATAAATAAATGGGGTGGGAGGAAGAATAGACAAATCTCCTATACAGAAGAATTCCACATCAGTTATATGGAGATACCCCTTCAAGGAGATAAAGCATAACTCCTGAACCCTTAAGTGTGGGCTGCATATGCTGACTTCCTTCCAAAGAGTACAGAATACCATGTGCTTTGCTGTTGAGTTGATTCTGACTGATAGCAAGCCTGTAGGTTGGAACAGAACTGTTACACGGAGTTTCCAAGGCTGTGATCTCTACAAAAGCTGACTGTTGTGTCCTTCTTCCACAGAGTGGCTGACTCAAACCACCAAACTTTCAGTTAGCATCTGAGTCCTTAACACTGCCCTACCAAGGCTCATACATATAAAAAAATCCATGGGGTGCAGAAACAGCAAGAAAATATAATAAATGGTATAAGAGTGGATAAGAGGAAAATATGCCTTTTTTTTCAGTATATTTTCTTTTATAATTAAGAAAACAACTGATTGGCGGTTTATAATTTGAATGTAAAATCTTCCTTATCATATCAGCTATATTATAAATTTAGCTTTTTCAGTATTGTTCATTTTTTCCTGAAAAGACTACTTTTACAGGATTGAGAGAACTAGGAATTTCTCCTCTACTCCAATACTCACCTAAACACACACAAAATGGATATTGTTTTGCAGGAGACTTATGAAGATGAAGAAGAATTGTTGTATGAACTAAGGCTACACAGAAAAACTTTAATACTTCATCTTTTGAGAACAAGGTAAATTCTATTATAATTCAATATTTTATAAATTTAGTAGTCTATTGTATCTCAGTTTCTGTAAAGACCACCAATGAAGTGACTTCTTCAAGTTATTGCTACACACACACACACACACATATATATATATATATATATTTCAAATCTTATTTGTCTGATTTTATATTATTTTAAAAAAATCCACTGTCATTGAGTCAATTCAGACTCACAGTGAACTCCATTGGATTTCTAAGGCTGGAAATATTTATGAAAGTAGATTGTCCTATCTTCCTCCCTTGGAGCAGCTGGTTTGTTGCTTCTGGTTAGCAACCAAATGCCTTACCTACTATGTCACCAGAGGCACTTGGCTACTAATCGAAAAGTCATTGGTTCAAACCTACCAGCCATTCTGTGGAAGAAAGATGAAGGAGTCTGCTTTGGTAAATATTTACAGGCTTAAAAACCCAGTGGGGGTCACTGTGAGTTTGAATTGACTCGATGGCAGTGATTTTTCCCCCATTGGTGTGTAATATTTTTCAGTTTTTTCTTTTGATATAAAATTTCCATAGAGTGAAATACACAAATCTTAAGTGTACATTCAATTAATGTTGATAAATGTACGCACCTGTGTTGCCCCAAATCCTGCAAAAATACAGAACCTTCACTTCAGAAATGTTTGTTATTCTCCTTCCTCATTTCTGCCTCTTGCTCCCAGCCCACTGAAACTAGAGGCATCTCTTCATTTAGGCATCCACTGGCTGCTGAGGCTAATAAGCCCAAGGTCAACAAATAAAATGGCATAATCTCGATGTTACCAAACCACATGGCAGGACATTGATTGTAAGTCCCAAAGTTGGCAGAGCATGGCAGGCTGCTGAACAACAACACGGCTACATGCAGAGTTCAAGTGTGCCATAAGCTAGAGATCATTCCCAAAGCTGCTTTATGGAAGAAAACCACATACCCAAAATAGCTACTCAGCTACTTGTGGTAGATGCCACCATAGAGTTGTTGCCAGTCTCATCATGGGGAATAACTACCACCAGCTGCCCAGCCACTCAACCAGGCCCAACCAAATTGACATACAACTTTAAATACCATAATTCCACCCCTTGTCAACTTGGCCCCTGTACAGATCTTCAGTGGGTGGCATCTGTACAGATCTCCTTCACTGGGTGGCTCCAGTCCCCTAGTTCCTAAGTGGCAACCTCACCCCTTGGCCTGGTGGGCCCCATTCCTTTCCCTCTTGGGCATGGCAGCCCTCCCCCCTCACTCTTGGGCAGTGGCTATGGCTCCATCCCACTGGCTAACATGAACAAGCCCCCCTGCACTCCAGAACCACGTTGGTGAAGGCCTTTTGGGCCTGTGGTCATTCCATCCCCAAAGGCCATGGTCCTTAAAGCTGAGGCAGCTCTGCTTCTGTTTCCTCGGCTTCTCCACTTCTGCCGATTAATGCCAAAGGCAACCCACTCCGATGGAAATCTTCCTGCCCCAAAAGCATTCAACTTTCTTGCTCAGTGGGCTGGCCAACCCGCTATTCCATTTCATGCCGGTCTTTTCTACCAATTAATGCCTAAAGGCAACCCACTTCACCAGTAAGCTGCCTAACCAAAGGCATCAAGCTTTCTCCTCTGTGGGCTGGTAAGGCTGTCACTGTTTCATGCTGGTTCTCTTGTCTCTGCTCCTGCCATCTCTCATGCCTGTCTCTGGGCTCTGCTCCTGCCGTTTCTCATGCTGGTCTCTTGCTCTGCTCCTGTCATCTGTCATGCCATATGCCAGGGTCTCTCTGCCGGGGTCTTGGGTCAAGGATGCACTCCACACCTGGTTCCACATTTTAGGTATCTGTCAGAGCAGCACCCCACTCTTAGTACCATATTCTGTTCTAGTTACCTAGTGCCACTCTGACAAGAAATATACCATAAATGGTATGGCCTTAACAAACAGGAGTTTATTCACTTACAGTTTGGAGGCTTTAAGTCCAAGTTAAAAGTGCCAGGCTCTACGGGCTGGGTGGAAGCCCCTCAACCTTGGGCTTCAGCTCTGCCTCTTGCTCCTGGCCCACTGAAACTAGAGGCATCTCTTCACTCAGGCAGCTACTGGCTGCTGAGGCTAACAAGCCCAAGGTCAACAAATAAAATGGCACAGTCTTGATGTTACCAAACCACATGGCAGGCCATTCATTCAAGTCCATTTTAAGTCCCAAAATTGGCAGAGCATGGTAGGCTGCTGAACAACGACACAGCTACATGCAGAGTCTAACCATGCCATAAGCTAGAGACCATTCCTAAAGCTGCTTTATATGGGAAGCAAACCACATACCCAAAGCAGCTACTCAGCTGCTTGTGGTAGATCCCACCATGGAGTTGATTGCCACTCTCATCATGGGGAATAACCACCATCAGCTGCCCAGCCACTCAACCAGGCCCAACCAAGTTGACATACAACTTTAACTACCACACTCATCAAGTCCCCTCAAACTCTACTGACAGAGGTAGTCATGTTTCCTTTCTCATCATAGATTATTTTAGCCTACTCTGGAAATTCTAATAAATAAAATCACATTGGTCATAATGTTGTATGTAAGACTTCTTTAATTCAATATAACTTCACTGAGATTCATCTAAGCTTTTGCATGTATCTGAAGTATGGTTCTTTCAATTTTCAAGTAGTATTCCATGGCATAAATATGCTACAGTTTATTTTTCCATTTTCTATTGATGGGCATCAGGGTTGTTTCCAGTGTTTGGCTGTCATGAATAATGCTTCTCTGAGAATTCTTGTACAAGTATTTTTTTTTTTTTTTTTTTTTAGGATTTGGGTGAAAATTTACAGATTGTACAAGTATTTTTATAAACATGTTTTCATTTCTCTTTGAAGAATACTAAGCATGGGAATTATTGCAGTATAGGGTATGTATAGGTTTAGTTTTATAAGAAATTGACAGACCCTTTTCCAGAGTGATTGTATAATTTTATACAACTACCAGCACTATGGGAGCTCTGGTGGTGTAGTGCCTAAGGTACTTGACTGCTAATCCGAAGGTTGGTGGTTCAAACCCACCAGCCACTCCTCAGAAGGAAGATTGGGTGATCTACCTCTGTAGGGATACCACCTCGGAAAACCAAGAGGGGTCTCTATAAGTTGGAGACAACTTGACGGCACAGAACAACAGCAACAACAACCAGCACTATGTGAGAATTTTAGTTGTTCCATATCCTTTCCAACATTTGGTGTTGTCAGTTTTTGAATTTTAGCAATAGTGACAGATTGTGGTAATATTTAATTGTTATCTAGTTTGTATTTCCCTACTGGAAACTTTTTCATAAGTTTATTGTCCATTTGTACATCATTTTTTGTAAATTGTTTAAATCTTTACTCATATTTTATTGGGTTGTTTTATTATTGACTTGTGATTTTTATACAATCAGCTGTTTGTTAAATGTAATTTTTTGCTAATATGTTCTTTCAATCTGAGTTTTTCATTCATTTTCTTAATTGTAGCAGTTGCTAGTTCAACGACATTTTAATTTATTGAAATTTTCTTGCTTGGTCATTGTTCTCTATGACCTAAGAAACATTTGCTTACCTACAGGTCACAAAGATCTTCTTCTGTACTGTCTTCGAAACTTTTCATGGATCAGTTTGTAGTTTTGGTCTATTATCATCTTAAACTTATGTGTGTATGTGTGTGTATGATTTGAAAGAGATGTTGAAGTTCATATTGTTACAGGCCAGTTATTCCAGCACTTTTTTTTTCAATGGTTTTCTTTTGCTACTTATTGTTTTGGCACTTTTGACTAAACTTAAATGACAATTTAAACATGAATTTATTTCTGACAAATTTAATCTTCTCTGTTCATCTACTTTGCAGTCCTTAAAAGAGTGCTACACTGTCTTGATTACTGTAGATTAAGAACAAATCTTAAAGCCAGGTTGTTTAATTCTGCCACACTTTTTCTTCTTTTTCAGACTTATTTTGTTTATCCTAGATTTTTGGTATTTCCATATGAGTTTTAAAATCATCTTGTCAATTTCCACACAAAAAAAATGCTGCTGGAATTTTGATTAAATTTCATTCACTCTACAGATAAATTCGGAAAGAACTGATATTGCAATAATATTGAGTAGTCATCCTATATTCCTAATTAAAGTAAATTTAGGTTTACTTTAATTTTTATCATCAATATTGTGTAGTTTACAGTGTAGAGCTCTTACATGTCCTTTATTAAATTTATTTCTAAAAATTTTAGTATTTATGTTGCTCCTATAAACAGAGCTAGTTTTTAATTTCATTTTTCTATTATTTGCAGTTATTATGTGAAAACACAATAGATTCTTAAAACAGTAGCCTTGGCTCTTGAGATTTAATAAATTAATTTATTAGTGTTTTGTGAGTTCCTTAGAAATTTTGTATGCAATAATATTGTCTATAAATATTGACAATTATACTTCTTCCTTTCTGATCATTTTTTTCTTTTCTTTATTTATTTTATTGCATTAGCTTGCATCTCCAGTGTAACTTGAGTAGAAGTAGTAAGAGTTAGCAACCTTACATTGTTCCTAATCTTAAGGGGAGAGTGTTCACTATTGAAGTATTGAATGCATAATATGATATTTCCTGTAGGATTCACCTTGATGTACTTTATCAGAATAACAAAGTTCCCTGAGAAGTTTGCTAAGAATGTTTTGTCTGTATCCACTAAAATCACAGTTTGGTGATTTACACAGATCTGTTTTCAAATGTTAAACCATCTTTGCCTTCCTGGGATTAACCCTATTTGTTTATTATACATTATCTTTTTTTCACATATTACTTTATTTAATTTACCTACATTTTGTTAAAAGATTTTTGCAACTATGTTAATGAAAGATATTTGTCTATATTTTTAGTGATTTTTTTATGATGTTTTTGTCAAGGTTTGATATTAGGATTTGACCTCATAAATTGAGTTGAAAAGTATGTTTCATTCTCTACATTTTTGAAAGTTTTTATAAAATTGATGCTATTCCTTTTTCTAATGTTTGACAGAATTCACAAATTAAACTATTTGTGCCTTGAAGGTTGTTATGTATATATGGAGACTGCAGAGGTTGATAACTAGTTTAAATTTCTTTAATAGGTATTGGGTGATTCAGATTATCTATTTCATTCTCTGCCAGTTGCATGTATTTTTTTTTTTTTCTTATTTTGGAAAACATCCATTTCATCTAAATTGTCAGATTTTGGTATAAACTGTTTAAATAATTCTCTGAATACCTGGAATATGAGTGATATAATCCATCTTTCATTTGTAAATATTGGTAACTTAAAATCTACGTTTTAAAAAAATGTACTTTGGGTGCAAATTTACAAAACAAATTTGTTTTACATTCAACATTTCATGTACATTTGATTTCACAGCCCAATTACCATCCCCAACCATAAAAAACTCTCATCCCCTCTTGTCCCTGTGACCACCCCCTCCCTGTGCCCTTCTTGACCATGCATTCCTGCCTGTCCAGCTTTCCCTCTATGTGAATGCTCCCCTTTGGTGTCTCATAGCTGATTGCTCTAAGGGGTGCATCTCCCTGGAGTAGGTGGGTGCTTCATCGTGGGGTAGGTGTTCTGTGTGTAGGTCTTTCTGCCATTGGGCTGAGAATCAATCCATGGAAGTGAGTCCATTTTTAGGCCCAAAGGATAACCGAGGGCTATAGTCTCAAGGGTTCTCCCAGACTCTATCTGACCAGTAATCCTGGTCATTTTTGTGTTTTTGAATTTTGTTCTGCATTTTTTACTCCCACTCTATCCAGGACCTCCAGTTTTGATCCCATTCTGAGTTCTTGGCATTTGTAGTTGGGCACCAACTCATTCTTCTGATCTTGAGGTCATGAAGACTGAGGTCCTTGTGGTCCATTAACCCCTTGGACTAGTTGTTTCCAGATGCCTTATACTTTCTTCACTCTTCTTTGATTCAGATGAGAGGAAACCAATAGTTGCATCTTCTACCTCCTTTTTTCTTGATTAAGCTAAAGGGATTTGTCAACTTGTTTGTTGATCTTTCAAATAACAAAAACCTGGCTTTGTTAATTATTGTTTGTTTATTTCACTGACTCCTTAGTGTTTACTTTCCTCTTCAAAAACTTTTCATCTTTTCAGTTATAATAACTTATTTAAGCTATAACTTTTCCTCTATGCATTATTTTAAACATATCTCACAAATCTTGAAATGTATTTTTATTGTAATTCATTTAATATTTTCTAATTTCTAATTTCATTTAGATTTATTCTTCGACTAATGGATTATTTAGGAGCTCTGGCAGCATAGTGCCTAAGGCATTTGAGTGCTAACCAGAAGGCTGGGGGTTCAAACCCACCAGCCACCCCTCGGAAGAAAGGTTGGGCAATCTACTTCCATAGTGATACTGCCTCGGAAACCCAAAGAGGGGTCGCTATGAGTCGGGTCTGACTCAACTGCACGTAACAACAACAACAATGGATTATTTAGAAATGTGTTAATTACTTTCTATTGTTGGGTAGTTAGCTACCTTTCTGTTATTAATTTCGAACTTAATTTTGTTGTTGATAGAGAATATTGTTTGAATGATAATAGTTTTTAAAAATTTGTTTTGACTCATTTTGTGGTCAAAGATGTGGTCATACTTGGTGACTATAATATGTATACTTGAAAAGAACATGTATTTAGCAGTCTCTGGGTCTAATGTTCTATAATCTAATAATTAGATTAAGGTAGTTTATAGTATTTTTTATATTTTTCTGTTTTTACTGAGGATTTTATTTATTTGCTTATTTGATGGGGTAGTTCTGTTTGTTTTGTAAATTGGTGAGAGTATAAGGCACTTGACTGATAAGCAGAAGGTTGGTGGTTCAAACCCACTAGCCACCCCTCGGAAGGAAGGTTGGGCAATCTATTTCCATAGTGATATTGCCTCAGAAACCCAAGGATGGGTCACTATGAGTTGGGTCGGACTCCACAGCACATAAAAACAACAACAAAAGAAAACAAACTCACTGCTGTTGAGTTGGTTCTGATTCATAGCAACCCCTCCTTGGGTTTCCAAGGTAGTATCTCTATGGAAGTACATTGCCCAGTCTTTCTTCTGAGGAGTGGCTGGTGGGTTTGAACTGCCAGCTTTCTGGTTAGCAGTCAAATGCCTTAGGCATTATGCCACCGGTTAGCAGTGATTGTATCTTGATGCGGTTCAGGATTATTTGTCTTTTACGTTTCTATATTTTCTAAATATACTATAATTAATACATATTGCTTTATCTAAAAATTACAATTTTTTAAGTATATATAAAACAAATGGATATATTCCACATATTTTTGTATTAATTTTGGCACTTAAGGCAAGTGATTTTCTTTTTTATTAGTGAGGTTTTGTTCTTTATTAGTCTACTGACCTTTTAAAGTCAGACAGTCATATAGTTATGGACATTTTATAAGCTTGAATTTTAAAACAATTTAAATTACTAAGGCAAGAGATTTTCACTTAGATACAATTTGATCTGAGTTCTTCCTAAAATGGTGTTTTGCTAAAACTGCTTGAATTTTTTTCCTGTCCTTTTTATAGTATTTATCAAACCATGAAATCTAGGTAGCAAGGTTTTTCATATGAGTGATTTTGATTTTACTTATCTATTTTTGGGAGAAGAGGATCTTGCTGAGATTTGAAAGAAGCTTGGAGATACCTTCTTCACATGACTGGTTTGATCTGTGCATTTTGTAAAATGAGTAACTGTCACTATTTCTCTGCCCTCTTTTTCAGGGAGCTCCTAGCCACAAATTACAGTGAAACTTACTCTTCCACAAAAGGAGAGGAGGTCACCAGGCATCCTCAGATCATGGTATCTTATGGCACCTTCCTATTATGCTTCTCTAAAACTATTATTTCCTGGTGTGATTTGGGAACCCCACTCTAGCTTTACAAGCAGCCTCCAAAAATGATACGTAAAAAATGAGTCCTGAATTGATTATCCTAATTGAATGATCCTAGAATAAAAGATAAGACCCTTTGAGTTAAAAGGAAGTTGGTCACTACTTGCTTGATTAACAACTCAGTGATTGTTAATGTATTTTTGTTTAGTAATGACTTCTGTGCACTCAATATAGAGTTAATTCTTGGAGAAGGGTAAAGCAGGACATGAAAGAAGTAAAAGGCACATTGATGAGGTTATAATCAAAATAAATGGATAAAACCTAAGAATATGAAACAATTTAAAAAGCTCTTTCTAATTGACCTTATTTTATTAATCTCTCTTTGCCCAGTCCTTGTGAGGCACCAATATTGAAGTCTTCTTGATTCTTCAAATAAATCTTTGTTCATTTATCCTATTTTTGTGGATACAGAGTCTATTTTTATAACCCCATTCCCCTTCCCAGGAAATGCCCTCTGCATCCTTCTAACCAAAGCTAACATTACCCTTTGTTATCAAAAGTATGGCTTTTAAAACCTATTTCATCTATCTAAGGCATCTGTCAACATCTATAAATTGCAGCTCACCATGGAATCTTTGTAAAATAGGACAGAAGGAAAACTGGGTAACACTTTTTCAGCAAAATGTGAGGACTGGCCTGTGAAGGTCTGAGGTCCCTGGAGAACGATGGAAAGTGTAACAGAGAAGGAGTTTAAAAAAATGGAAATAATAGGAAGAGTAATCACCTAATGAGATCACCATGGACCAAGCATCAAGTTGGGAATAATAAAAAATACCAGTTGATTGAAGCAGGGAGACAGGGTAGAAAGAAAGGCGTGAGGGGACCTGGTTGAAGAGTAAGACTAATTATAGAGATCATCAAGAACATGGGTTTAATTTCATAGGCAAGTAGGAAAAACTGTAATATTAGCACAGAAAGCTGAGTTTGATATAGAATTTTGGATGAAATAAAGGAATACTATTTCCAAGGGAAAGAGTCAAATTTCTGAGGTTGATAGTTCTTAAATTCTTGAGTAAAGAATCCATATATTGAGCTACATAAAGAAATTATGCAATTAAGATAAAATGTCTTGAAAAGGATTCTAAAGCAGACTTAACTCTTTCAAAATAATGCGAGTAAATTAATATAAATGGAATTTATAGAAATTAAATACTGATACACTGTGAACAGAAATATTTATAATAAATACATATATTATATTTAGACCATGTCAATATTTATACTTGTATTAATAGCCTCTTTATCCATTTTAGGATCACTGTTTTTACCAAGGATCCATCTTACATGAAATAGATTCTGCTGCCAGTGTCAGCACATGTAATGGTCTGAGGTAAAAGAGTATCTTTCTAATTCCTTGATGAGTTTTTCTGTGGATTTTCAAAGACATTCACCTCACTTATCTTTAGTAACCCTTAACCCATTGCTGTTGAGTAGATTTTAACTCATAGTGACCCTGCAGGACAGAGTAGAACTGGCCCACAAGGTTTCTAAGGCTTTAATCTTTATGGAAATGGACTACTACATCTCTATTCCAAGGAGCAGCAATGGAGTTAGAATTGCCAAATTTTCTGTTAGCAGCTGAGCACTTAACCAATGAACCACTAGGGCTCTAATGGGAGAAGAAGAAAAAAAAAAAACCCTTACTGCCACAGAGATTATTTGAATCATAGCGACCCTTCCTTGGGTTTCCCAGGCGGTATCTCTAAAGAAGTAGATTGCCATTGCCCAGTCTTCCTTCCAATGAGTGGCTGGTGGGTTTGAACTGCCAGCCTTCTGGTTAGCAGTCAAATGCTTGGACACTATGCACCAGAGATCCCGATGGGAGAAGAGGTATTGTACATTCTCAGCAATTAGTATCAGCCCTGGCCCATTGATTCTGTTCTTGCTTGAATTACCCTAAGCAAGAGATACTTTGTGGTATATGATCATGAGATTCAGAGTGAGCAGATTCCTGGAAATCATCTACCAAACCCTCTTATGTTATAGCTCAGGATACTGAAATCAGTGAATTGTTCCATCACATAAAATTTGCTTATGGTATGACTGAATTATTGGAAGTATCTTTTTCCAACAACATAAACAGTGACTATGTAAGTGGTCACCACAGGACAGAATACACAGGAATCAAATCAACTATATGTGTGGCAAGAGACGATGGAGAAGTTCAATGTCATTGGTCAGGACAAGGCCAGCAGCCAACTGCAAAATAGACCATTAATTGCTTCTATATGAATTCAAGCTGGAATGGAAGAAAATTAAAATAAGTCCACAAGAGCCAAAATATGACCTTAAGTATATACCACCTGAATTTAGATACCATCTGAAGAATAGATTTGATGCATTGAACACTCATAACCAAGATCAAATGAGTTGCGGCATGACATCAGGGACACTGTAAATGAAGAAAACAAAAGGTCATTTAAAAGACAGGAAAGAAAGAGAAGACAGAAATGGATGTCAGAAGACACTTGGAATCTTACTCTCGAATAGAGAATAGCTAAAGCGAATGGAAGAACGGTGAAGTAAAAACACTAAATAGAAGATTTTAAAGGAAATCTTGAGAAGACAAAGCAAAGCATTATAATAAAACATGCAAACTTCCGCTAAAAATTTCAGTTAGTAAACAAAAAGGAAATAACGTATTTGAAATTTCTCAAGCTGAAAGAACTAGAGAAAAAAATTCAAGCTGAGTTGCAATACTTATGGATTCTATGGGCGAAATAGTGAATGATGCAGCAGTCATCAAAAGAAGATGGAAGGAATGCACAGTCACTGTACGAAACCATTCTGACAAGTAGCATATGAATAAGAATCAATGGCATTGAAGGAAAAAGTCCAAGCTACTCTGCAGGCACCGGCAAAACAAGAATTCAGGAATTCACAGAGTACCAATCAGGATGTTTCAACAAATGGATTCAAACCACATGTCATCTGATTTCTCTACCATCAAGAGCACCCTACTACATGTTCATGAGGCTTTAGCCAGATAGTTTCCCTCTCTTTCGTCTTTTTGTTTATTTATTTATTTATTGTTAAACAATGTCTTACTGTGTTTTCAGTGAAAGTTTACACAGCAAATTAGGTTCCCATTTGCCAATTTCTAGGCAAGTTGTTCAGTGATATTAGTTATTTTTCACAATAGGTCAACATTTTCATTAATTGTACTTTGGTTGCTCTGTAGTTTCCCTTTCTTTAGAAGGTAAATCAGTAAGGGATAGAGTAGTTACAGATCTTAAATATAGTTGTTGTTGTTTTTTCTCTCTCCATTGCCATAGAGGATTCTTCAGAATAAAAGACCAAAGGTACCTCATTGAACCAGTGAAATACACAGATGAAGGAGAACATTTGGTGTTCAGATATAACCCAAAGGTGTATTATGCTGCCAATTATTCCTGTACAGAGTTCAATTTTACCAGGAATACTGTTCCAAGCACCAGTACTAAATCTGTGGAAAAACACAACGTAGAAGTGAGTGCTTTATTTTTAAAATCATGTTTCTTTCCCCAGGGAAAATACTTATTTTGTCCTTTTTGATCTGGAGAGAAAACTACAGGCCAGCTAATGAAGTGTTCATGGCACTCTGAGTCTGGCTCTTTATTATCTTAAATCTGAAATGTCAATTTTTTGTTTTTATTTTTGTTACCTATGTAGAAAGTAGGAGTTCTGGTAGCATAGTGCCTAAGACACTTGACTGCTAACCAGAAGGCTGGTGGTTCAAACCCACCAGCCACTCCATGGAAGGAAGGTTGGGCAATCTACTTGCGTAGTGATACTGCCTCGGAAACCCAAGGAGGGGTCGCTATGAGTCAGGTCTGACTCAATGACAAATAACAACAACAACAACAACATGTAGAAAGTGTTCATTCTTTACAGTAAATTTAAGTTTGTTTTATCAATATCAAGAAAAGTACATTTCTAAATCTTACATATAGATTTATAGCTTTAAGGTTATAAGTGGTTAGAGCAACAAAACCAGAAATATTCTGAAACCTATTCTAAACACTACCTTCCCTTCCATCTTCCTGTTATTTGTTGGTGTTGATGATAAACCATATTCTTCTCTTTTCATCAAGTCAAATATTATAAATTATTAAAGACAATTAAGGGTAATAACAAGTTGAATTTCTGGTGTGGTGATTGCACATGAAAGCCCTACGTGTTAATTTTTCTATTCAACTAGTTCAGTTCCCCTTAAATCCCCTCTAGATGTTAGTTAGCCTGTTAGCCCCATGAGTGTTCATAATCTTCACAGTAGCACAGTTCATATTCAGGATGGTGTCTGAAACATTAGATGTCTATTGACTGTTTGCTGAATGTACGGATCTATGAAAGAATTATCACTTAGTCCACAAAGCAATGGATTATCTCAAATCTCTGAGCAGCATGCTTCTGATTTTTACCTTAGTGTATGTACACAGAAGGCTGAAAACTTAGTGGAATTTCCTGTGCTATTGTTTTATAAAAACTAAAAGCCTATAATTCCCAACATTTTTACAAGTTCTATTGGAATTGAGACTACAGAAGAGAAGTTGGAAGGAAGGAAAAAAAATGGAAGTGATGGAGTCAGTCCCATTAGTCAATACTAGGTTTTAGCTTCCAACTATAGATGGATGCTTTTAACATGAGCTTCTGTTTCACTTAGTAAAACAAAGAACTAAATGCTAAAAAGTAGATTCATGATTCTTTATTTATAACCTTTATTTTACCTGAGAGATTAAGGAAAGAAAGAAAGGAGTCAAATATGGGGTGTTTCTTCAAGTTTATTAAAATCTTTTGCAAATAATCACATCTGTGAATAATATGTGTTGTTGTTGCTATATGCCAACGAGTCAGACCCTACTCATAGCGACCCCTCCTTGGGTTTCCGAGGCAGTATCACTATGGAAGTAGATTGCCCAACCTTCCTTACACGGAGTGGCTGGTGGATTTGAACCTCCTGTCTTCTGGTTAGCAGTCATGTGCCTTAGGCACTATGCTTCCAGAGCTCCCTGTTAATAATATGGTAGATCTTATATAAATCCATAAAATTGCTAGATATATTTTTGTACTCCCCCCTCCCCTTTCTGTATAAATATCATTAACATGTCTTATTTTGAAAATGTTATGTTTTTCAACATTAAATGATAAATGTTAATAATTCTTCATTAAATGTTCCATAAATTTTCAGAGCATCCCTAAAGAAAAATATATTGAACTGTTCATTGTTGCTGATTACAATGTGGTAAGTTTTCAGATGAACATTTTGCATTTCATTCATCCTTACAAAAATACAGCTATGATTTTGATAAAGAGAAAGCAGTATGCTAATCAGCATTCCATCCAGATTCCAGAGTTCTGTTTTTAGCTTCCCATAATAGACTTATATAAGTAACTATTGAAGCCTTTGATGGTATGGTAGTCTAAGTTGAAAGAGAACCTGCTTCCTCATTATGAACACATAGAAATGCTGAACAAAATATAAAAAGTTGAAAGCATGTTAACAATATACAGTTGAGGTCAACTGAAAACAAAATATTTCCAGTGCTAAGAATAAAGAACAATAAGTAAAACTCTAAAACATAGTGGCCCACAACATATATATTTCAGATATACTACTTGGGAGTTGGGAAATTAAACTTTCTTTAGGATGAAAAACTGGACCACAAACCTCCTAAAGGCTGAGATTTGGAAATAGCTCCTCTGCTCAATGCCCAGAGCCGTAAAGAATTACCCGATCCTTGAAAAGGGAATTAGGTATCTCTGTCCACTAAAACTGCAAATGAGAAAGGAAATTTTCTATCTGCTTTTAACCAGGGAGAAGAAAAATGTTATGCATGGGAAAACAAAGTCATAAGCTTGTGCAAGACAAAGATGTGGAGTATAATCTTAAATATTTTTTTAGATAGAGAAATGCCAAATAAAATTTTTAACATAAAAGCCTGGGAAGCTATTGTTGTTAGTTGCCTTCAAGTATGACTATTCTGACTCAGGATAACCCCCGATACTAGAACAAAACACTGAACATTGCCTGGTCCTATATCATCTTTACAATCATTGGTATGTTTAAGTCCATTGTTGTGGCTTTTGTGCGGATCCATTAAAAAAAAAAAAAAAGCCCTTTAAGGACATTTTACAATCCAAGATAAGACAATGCACGTGAGGAAGAATCATAATGAAAAGGCAAATTGTTGTTTGGTGTCCTCAAGTCATTTTCTGACTCATGGCAGCTATATGTACAACACAATAAAACACTGCCCAGTCCTATATCATCCTCATAATTGTTTGCTGTGTTGGAGCCACTGTGTCAATCCAGTTCACTGAGAATTTTCCTGTTTTTTGCTGACCCTCTACCAAGTATACCTCTGGTGGTATAGTGCCTCAGGCACTTGACTGCTAACCAGAAGGCTGGCAGTTCAAACCCACCAGCCGCTCCTTGGAAGGAAGTTTGGGCAATCTACTTCCATAGTGATACCGCCTCGGAAATCCAAGGAGGGGTCGCTATGAGTCAGAGCCGATGCCACAGCACTTAACAACAACAACAAATAAAACAAAGCAGATGATATTGTAGAAAAATTTCAGAATATCAAACATTAAAAAATTCCTTAAAAAAAAATCCAAATGAAGGGATTAGGCAATAATCTTAAAGGGATTGGGAGAAAGAAATCATACTTAAGTATGATTGTTAAAACTTTGTTACAAAATTGTAAATATTAAAATATATATTTCCCACAAGAATAGTGGGGATATAAGGAATAAAGAGAACAAGACTAGACCAATGGAAAGCAAGAAATGTTATGCTGCATCCACTATTAAAAACAAAACAAACAAACAAAAAACTCACTGCTATTGAGTTGATTCTGACTCACAGTGACCTCCTCTGGGTTTCCAAGGTGGCAAATCTTTACTGAAGTAGATTGCCCAGTCTTCCTTCCACAGAGTGGCTGGTCGGTTTAAACCACCAACCTTCTGGTTAGCAGTCAAATGCCTTAGGCACTACACCACCAGAGCTCCTTACATTCACAAGAATATATAAAATATTTGCATGACAACAAAGGTTTATTCTAATAATATAATTATGCTTTGCTTAAACAATACATAGTTTAAAATAATGTAATCGTCTCAAACATCTCAAACCTAATGAAAGGTTAGGTTCTAAAGAACATGTCTTTATGTGAAAATCAGTGTTATGTGGAAATGGAGGATGACCACATCAAATCACACAATGGAAGATGACAACATCAGTACTTAACTGCTAGATTACCTCATTACATAACTGGTAAACCACTGAGAGTCATGGCCCAAGTTGACGCATAACCTTAATCATCATAGCCAGCAATACTCTCACCTCACACCTCAGCATTTGTTACTGCCAGACATACATCATTAGTGCTAAATAGTCAGAGAGCAAATTTTTACTCTTGTCATAAATGCAGATCAGATAACAAGAGTCAGTAAGTGAGTAGGTAAATGCATATATATATGCATATATATATATATATGTATATAAAAGTTTTACAAAATTTAGCATTCATTCCTGGTAAAAATCCTTAGCAAAAAGCAGAAGAAAATAAAGGATACTTAGTGAAATCCTAAACTCTATAAATGTTAAACTTAATTATAAAATGTTACAGGTTTCCATTCCAAAACTGGAAATCAGATTTTCATACTCATCATCAACAAAATTTCTTCCAACATTTTTACTGAATTGCTATGTGAATGGAAAAGAAAGATACAACACAGTTGCACATTTAACAAATATGAGAAGCTATAATTAACCTGGGAGCTCTGGTGGCATAGTGCCTAAGGCATTTGACTGTTCAAAACCACCAGCCATTCCTTGGAAGGAAGATTGGGCAATCTGTTTCCTTAGAGATATCACCTCAGAAACCCAAGGATTGCTATAAATCGGTATCAACTGGAGAGCAGTGAGTTTGATTTGGTTTTTGGTTAGATACTTAAGGTAACAGAAAAATGATGGCATGGTAACTGGAGGATGCTTGCTAGATTCAGAAATGGCATATTATTTGTTTATTTTTAATGGTGAAAGAAAGTTACCAGTTTTATTTACCCCTGTAGGATACCTTTTAATATCACCAATTATATTTTATCAAATTTAAATTGTTATTGTTGAGAACAAGGTCCTGATAGCACAAAAAGGGAATGTAGTTGTGAGAAAAGAAAAAGATAAATTAGATTTGAACATCCTTCTAATAGAGAACAGGGACTCACAGTTTTCTGACCCTCTCCAAAATGTCAGTGACTCCATGTGTTTTCAGGATTACAGGTTCCTTAATTTTGAACCACCATGGGAACAGGAGAACTGATAAAATTGTTCTTTTCAATAAAATGGTTTGCTGAGGAGAATTAATAAATTTTATTTCATCAAAGTGATAAAAATGAACTGTAAAGAATTCTTATCAATTGGTTCAATAAATCAATGTAATGCAATGTAAAAGAAGGAAAAACTAAGAAAAAAAACCTTAAACTAGTGCTAACTTTGTCTTTAGGAACTGCTGTATATAATTTTTTTTTTAAATAAAATCTTTAACTCTGCATAAATTTCCCAGACTTACTAACAATAAACCCCTCTTTCTTCATTATGCCAATGAATATTTTCTCTTGAAGTATTTCATAGTGGATGAAATATTTTCTTGGGCTTCTATTCTATTCCTTACACTAATGAATTTTTATCTAATGTTTATATCTCCAGTATCACAGGAATACCAATCCTTACAATAAACTAAGGAACCGAATTTTGGGAATGGTCAATTTTGTCAATATGGTAAGCTTGCACACAGTTTGAATCAAACTAACAATGCAAATGGAAAGAAACTTTTAGGATAGATCTCTGCTGGATTTTTATGGCAACTCTGATACTGAAGCAGCCTAAAGAACAAAAATTCACCAGAAACTAATAAGCAAAACTTTATTGAAATACTCATAGCAACAAATGAATCACAGCTCTTGAGATTTTTGCTCTGGTAGCATAGTGCCTAAGGCACTTGACTGCTAACCAGAAGGCTGGCGGTTCAAACCCACCAGACGCTCCTCGGAAGGAAGGTTGGGCAATCCTACTTCCGTAGTGATACTGCCTCGGAAACCCAAGGAGGGGTCGCTATGAGTCGGGCCGACTCGACGGCATATAACAACAACAACAACAAAGTATATATCATTAATATTTAAATAAATTAAAAATATTTATCTCTAATCACAAATTTATCTTAAAAATATATGAAGAATTTGGAAACCAGTCATATATAAACTAAATTGCATTACTTTCTATTACTTCTGTACAGTTTTACATAATGAAAAGATTTTCAAGCTATACTTTATTGTTCATGGTTTTGTGCAAAATTCAAGGTAAATTTTTCAGTAACAAAAAAAAGAAAGAAAACAACTACACTCACTGCGGTGGAGTCTGTCCTGACTCACAGTGACCCCTCCTTGGGTTTCCGAAGCAGTGTCTCTACTGAGGTCTTGTGGCTTTCAGTACCTAAGGCATATGATTGCTAACCAGAAGGCTGGTGGTTCAAACCCACCAGCCACTCCTTGAGAGGAAAATTGGACAATCTACTTCTGTAGAGACTGCCTTGGAAACCCAAGGAGGTGTCACAATAAGTGCAATCCACTCCACCGCAGTGAGGGTTTTTTTTTTTCAATCTCTACAGAAGTAGTATACACAGTCTTCCTTCGGAGGAATGGCTGATGGGTTTGAATCTTCAGCCTTCTGGTCAGCAGTTAAATGCGTTAGGTAGTACAGTAAAATACACTAAAATTATTAATGTGTCTAATGCAGAATAAACTTACACTTTTAAAACAACATTGTGGATTGTACACATCTTTTTAACGCTGACTCCTAAGACACCCCAGCTCTGTTACTAGGATAAAGAAGCACCGAGAAGATGCTGTAAGGAATGTCCCCTCTAGGTCAGTGGTTATCCATTCACCAGTTGAAAGACATTTGGTCTGTTTCTAGTTTTTTATCATTATTATTAAAACTGTTTTTAAACATTTAAAGCAAAGTGCAAAGTGGATGTACAAACAAATTTTATTTATTTTGTGTAAATACCTACAGAGTGTGATTGCTGGTTTATATGGTGAGGTGATTCTCACAAATGTTGATATGTTTTGTGTTAATTTTCATTTGATTAAAAACAGTATTTCTAATGTCCCTGTGACTTCTTTGATTCAGTAGGAACATACAGGTATGCTATTTCATTAATTTCATTATAAATATTTAGAGATTTTTCATCTATCTTTGTTACTGATTTTTATTTATGGCTCTAGTAAAGTTAGAGACAATAAAGTTTGTTTGGTTTTAATTCTTTTAAATTTGTTGAGGTTTATTTTATGGCCTAGAATATGGTCTACTATGGTGAATTCCCATGTGCACTTGAAAAAAAAAAAAAAGAAGAAGAAAGAAAGAAAGCATTCCACTGTTAGAGGGTGGAGTGTTCTACAAAAGTCAATTGTGTCAAATTGGTTGATAGAGATTTTCAAGTCTTCTGTGTTTTTACTGACTTTCTGACTATTCTGGTAATTACTGAGAAAAGAATGTTGACATATACAATTATAATTCTGGATTTGTCTGTTTCTCTTTTCACTGCTATTATTTCTGCTGTATGCCTTTTGAAACTCTGTTGTTAATGACAATTTGTTTATATTTGATACGTCTTCTGGCTGAATTGACACTTGATCATTGTGAGATGTTCTTTATCTGTGCTAATATACTTTGTTCTAAAGTCTACCTAGTCTGATTAATTTAGCCACTCCAGTTTTAATTTAACTACTATTTGCATGATGTATTGTTTTGCTTTTTACATATGTCTTTGTATCTAAAGTGAGTTTCTTATACACAGTGTATCTATTTCTTTCTCCAATCTGATGATCTCCTTTAATTTGAGTGTTTACACTATTTGCATATAATAAAATTATTTATATGGTTGGATTAGAATTTATCATTTGATAATTGTTTTCTTTTTATTCTACAAAGTCTTTGTTTCTTTTATCTTTTGTTCTATCTGCTTTGGGATTAATTTTGTTTTCTTTATGATCCATTTTATCTCTAGTATTGGATTTTTACTGTTAACTCTTTAAAAAAGGGCATTAGTAATTATCTACCAAAACCAAACTCACTGCCATCAAGTTGGTTCCGACTCACAGAGACCCCTCCCTGGGTTTCCAAGGCGGTATCTCTACAGAAGTAGATTGCCCCATATTCTTTCCGAAGAGTGGCAAACCACAGTCTCCCTTCAAATAATATTATATTACTACACATAAAGCCAAAGAATTCAATAATGGTATACTCCAATATGTCCCATCTACCTTGGTGCTAATATTATCATCCATAATTATTAATAAATGTACTGTTTAGAAAAGTTTCAATTTATAATATATATATATATATATATATAAACATAAGTATACATTTATAAGTATATATTTATAAACTGAGAAAATAATAGAGAATTGCTTTATATCCCATGTTGTTTTTCCTATTATTAATGTATTACATTAGTATAATATATTCATCACAATTAATAACAAATGTTGTTGTTGTTGTTGTGTGCCATCGAGTTGGACCCGACTCATAGTGACCCCTCCTTGGGTTTCCGAGGCAGTATCACTACGGAAGTAGATTGCCCCATCTTCCTTCCGAGGAGTGGCTGGTGGGTTTGAACCGCCAGCCTTCTGGTTAGTAATAACAAATAATAACAAATATTGATGAATTATTATTAACAAAAATTTATACTTTATTTAGAGATCCTTAGTTTTTACCTAATGTCTATTTACGCTCTAGTATCCCATCCAAGATACCACATTACTTTTAGTCATGACTCCTTGGGCTGTGACAGATGAGTCTTGTTTCAACGGCCTTAGTTTTGAGAAGTACTAATCACATATTTTATAGGATGTCCTGTGCCGGAATTTGTGTGATATGTTTTCATGTTTAGGCTGAGGTTATAGATATTTTTTTTCCTTTTATTTATTCATTTATTTATATCACTATGTACTCATATCAGAAGGCTGGCGGTTCAAACCCACCAGGCACTCCTCGAAGGAAGATGGGGCAATCTACTTTCGTAGTGATACTGCTCAGAAACCCAAGGGGGAGTTGCTATGAGTCTAATCTGATTTGATGGCAGTGACTCATAGTTATTTATTTTATACTTTGAATCATACTCCAATAGCACTTTACTTAGTTTCTTGATCAAAAAATTTCCACTTTGTCTGTTGGATGTTCTTTTATTTGGATCATGTGTCCCTTTGACATACTCCCATCAATAGGGATTTTTTTTTAATTAAATACTTCCTTTTTTTCTTTTTCTTTTTCTTTTTCTTTTTTTTTTTTTTTTTGGCACTACAACATGATCCATTATTATCTTATTTTGTATATTTCCTACCTCAGTCAAGAATCAGTCATTTCTCCACAGAGCCCTGGCTCCCCTTATTAAAGAATGGTATTAGAAACCAAGGTCTGGGTACTAGATGTGCTCATTACTACTGCAATTTGCCATACATTTTACTTTTACATATCACATGAATCCACAAAAAATTGTACTATTTTTGTTTTAGACAAACATCTTTTAGAATAACTGATAATTAGGGAAAAAAGTGTCTTTCATTTTTATCTTTATTTTATCTGTTGTTAGAGATAATCTTATTACTTGTTTGTTTATAAATCTGAATTTCCTTCTGGTGTCATATCTCTTTCGTCTGATGACTTTCTTTTAATATTTCTTGTGGTGCATATCTTCTAGATATGAATTCTCTGAGCTTTTGTCTGTCTTAAGAAATCTTTGTTTCTCCATTTTTCAAAAGTATTTTTACTTGGTACAAAGTTACAGATTGAGAGCATTTGTTTTGTTTTCTTCTGTTGTGTTGTGCTTTCCTTTCAGTGTGTTAATAAGTCCATTGCATTGTCTTCTAGTTTGAATGTTTTCTCATGAGAAGTAATCTAAAACTCTTATTTGTATTTCCATGCATGTAGTGTAAATGTCAATTTCAAACTGCAGAAGTTGATAAAAATCTTCAATTTCATCATCTTTGGCTTTGGTGGTTGGTGCATAAATTTGAATAATAGTCATATTAACTGGTCTTCCCTGTAGGCATATGTGTATTATCCTATCACTGATAGCATTGTACTTCAGGATTGATCTTGAAATGTTCTTTTTAACAACGAATGCAATGCCATTTCTCCTATAGTTATTTTTGCAAAGTAGCCAATACTAGTCTATTTTAGCTCACTAATGCTTAGGATTTGTGTGCTACACTTCATTTTTGATGACTTCCAACTTTTCTAGATTCATGCTTTGTACATTCCACATTCCAATTATTAATGGATATTTGCAGCTGTTTCATCTCATTACAAGTCATGCTGCATCAGTAAATGAAGATTCCAAAAACTTTACTCCATCCACATCATTAAGGTCGACTCTGATTTGAGGAGTACCTCTTTGCCAGTCATATTTTGAGTGCCTTCCAACCTGAGTGGCTCATCTTACAACATAATATCAGACAATGTTTCACTGCTATTCATAAGGTTTTCAGTGTTCAGTTCTTTCAAAGTAGAGCACCCCATCTTCTTCCTAGTCTGTCTTAGTCTGTAAGCTGCACTGAAACCTGTCCACCGTGGGTGACTCAGCTGATATTTGAAACACTAGTGGCAAAGCTTCCAGCATCACAGCAGCCTACAAGCCAACACAGTACCACAAACTGACAGATAAGCAGGACTGTGCAAATGTGAGGTGCTTGTGACCCATAGTGCTGCCTGTATGGAAATGGAGGGAATTATACAGGATGTATGTACCAGGGAGCAGGTGGGCACCACCTTAGAATTCTGTGTATTATATCCATCTTTTCTACTAGATTCTTTAACATATTAATAATTATCATGTAAATTCTCTGTCAGATAATTTGAAAACGTGGGTCATCACTGTGTCCATTCTGATGATTCTTATCTCTAGAATAATAAGATGGTTTTTCCTGTTCTATTGTTTTTATTAGATACTTAACATTATGTGTAATATGATAGAAACCAAGACAATGGTATTATGCCTGGAAATGGCACACTTCTTGTTTTGTTAGGCAATTAATTTGTGGGATTGAATCAGTTTTGTCAGAAATAGAGTTAGTTCAGTGTTGTTGTTGCTATTGTTACATACAACGCACTACAAAATTTCAAATTTCTCTACTGTTATCTCTGCTTAGGGGGAGTCTTTGGTTGTTGGAGAATTTTTCTCTGTTTTCTTATTCCAGCCTCAACATCATGCCGTCACTGAGTACCAGTACCTCAGAAAACATCTCTCTTCACATTTCTGCCCCTTGTTGGGTAGAAATCCACTGTTGTTTACACTCAGTGCTTGCTAGTCTAGTTGTGGGGGCCATTCACCCATTGGTAGGAGATCATTAATAGCCTGGGCCTAGGGTAGTTTCCTGCCTCTCCCACAAGGTAGAAGGTTTTTTTCTTTTCCTTTCCTTCTGCCACAATTTGTGTTCATTTGGGTTCTGGGGATAAGGGGAAATTTTGACATTTTCCTCCAGCATCTCAATGTTTTTATTCCTCAGGAGACAAAGATCTAGATGGGTTTTGTGATTTTTCTATAGTAGCAGCTGGTCCCATCCTTCAGGTCTGCACCACCAAGGGCTCCTACTCTGATCTCTTTTGTTCATGTGATCATCTGAAGAAAGTCCTTGAAGAGTTGATTCATGTGTTGAAATCACTTGTATCTGTGTCTCCCAAAAAACTCTGTATTCTCATTGTAGCCTACAGTCACCCTTTATCAATTCCTTAAAAATGTTTGAATTCTTCCTATCTTCTTGTATGGGGTTCATCATCTTTTTCCCACGCTCTTCCACAGGTGAACCAATGCTCTTACATATCTGTCAGTGAAGGAGGCTGACTTTCCTTAGCTTTCATGATACTTGTTTGCCCTATAACTTCAATACCCTGATGGCTTCAAGAAGAAATATGATCTTGTAGATTTCCTGTTTTTGTCTTCCTGTTAGAATAAAGGCAATACTCTGTCCGCTTTTGTACATTTTAGGAAAAGAACTCCAAACTGTCCAAATCTCTGTTAATGGGAATTCTTTCCTATGACTTTTTCTGATTTCTTGGGAAAGTATGGAGTAGAGTGGTTATTTCTCACAGTTACCTCTGTTTTCTTCCATTTCTTATCTTTTGCAATTGCTTCTTTATCAGTACACTGGCATTGACCCCAATGTGGGACCTAACCCCTTCTCCTCGGTTTCTCATCTCCAATGTAAGCATGAATATAAAATTTTTTCACATGTTGAACTTTTTCCCAAGATTTGCCTTTCGTTGGAAGGTCACATTTCACACCATAGTATGAACAATTTAAAGTTACACCATCTAAAATTCTTCGAGTTTCCCAACCACATTTCTTCTTAATTGCCTTTTATCCTCCATACAGCCCATACTTACATCATTTCAATGGATCTTCTATCATCTTTACTTTCATGATCTCTTCATGGCTTTTTTTTTTTTTTTTTTTTCCCAGATATTCCAGAGCTCTTTCCTTACTTTGAAGAACAACTCAGTCTTCTACATCTTTCCAAATTCATATATCCAGTCCCATCTAAACACTCAGCAGATATAATATGGCTTTCCTTTCATAGGATATATTCTCTCTAGAAGAGAATGCAATCATAGGATGAAAACTATTTTCTGTACTTGCATCCAGTTTTATGAATCTTAAGTGCATCCATGAATACAGAGGATCCATGAGGGCAGTTAAAACAAGACTTGCACAGCAGGACCTGACTTATCAGTATATCACGTGATAAAAATCAAACCAAGAGAAGAGAGGATGAACATTACATTTCTAGTGAGGATTTGAGATTATGATTTGACTAAGGATCAGGTCCAACTTCATGAGAGTTTAAAAGAAGTTTAATTCTTATGGTTCTAAATGACTTTGCTACTTCTAAAATGACCTTGTTGATGCATTAAATTAAGTATATTCATCTTCTACAGGTAAAGAAAAGTGGAAAATTAACACAGCATTATTGTATAAGAGAATCATGTGAACATTAAACTTCTTAGTAACCAGTTACATTCTCTATTAACATTGTCTGTTCTTAAATCACATATTCATACTTTATCATTCATTCTTCCTTTCAATCTATTTTGTACTGTCTGTAATAGAATAGAAAAGTGAATGTAAGACGTAATCTTTGTCTCAAAAATCTCTTAATAATCGTTTAAACTCCATCTTCTTTTGTCCTGGCATCAAACTAGGTGTTTGCAGAAACAGACAGGAATAACAGGGAGAAGGCCTATGGGCTGCAACAATTTCTGCCTGTTTTGAATAATACTCAATTAAGATTTCTTGGGCAACAAGGTAGTTCTAAAAGTCAAACACAGAGAGCAACTATGGCAGCTAAGCTAATTTTTTAGAAACCTTCCTAATATGCCACAAAAACAACTCATGGCCCAAAGTAGAGGGATAAATAAAAAACATTGATTCCACTGCACATGACTGTTAACAAATTTACATTATCATCATAACACAGAGCTTTAATAAATTCTTCTTGTAGATTCATCCTGAACCTAGTGTCTCTAAGGCTTATCAGGCTCTAGGAGAATCAGACCTTTCAATCAATCTTCTTTGCTGAACAATTCACCCAGTATTCTGGGTAATTTACCCTGAGTTCTATTTCAATACAATTTTTGTAAAATTAGGCTAGTGTTTTGTTTTTTTTTCACTTTTCTATCTATCTAATTATATTTTTGGTTTTTAATATAAATAAAAGAATATGGTTATGATAAAAGATCCTTCTTCTTTAAACAGATTTATAAAACTTTGAACATTCATGTAACATTGGTTGGACTTGAAGTGTGGACAAATGGAGATCAAATAAAAGTAGATTCAAATATAGAAACAACTTTATTACGTTTTTCAGCTTGGCAAGAAACAATCATTAAAAAACGAAAGACGTTTGATCATGCTGTGTTGCTCAGGTATGTGCCTAGTCTATTTTCCTGCACAGCTTACATGAATTATATAAGAAGAAAACAAAGTAAATGCACATAAAACAATCATTTTTTAAAGCAATTCATTTTTGAATAAGAGTCAGGGACAGAGTATTATGTCTAGCCATAAAAGAAATTAAATGCACTCTTTTGTAATCTTTCTAACATTGATTAACATTAGAAAGGAAAATCGGATATATTCATATTCCTGGACAGAGTTGAAAATATTATTAGGTTAGCAAAATAATTTTAGAATCCATTTACCTCACTTATCTGCATCTAATGTAACGATTTCAACCTCCCATACCATTCCAGGCTGTGATGCTCTACTGTGTCTCTTACAATATTCCACCAAAATCCATCTTTCTTGAAAAGCACCTTACTCTCTTGACATATTTGCTCATCTAAGTGTACCTATCCAGGGACCAGTACTTCAAGAGTACCTTCCCTAGAGGGAAGGGAACACTGCAAAAAAAAAAAAAAAAAAGAGTATCTTCTCTACTATTCAAGATGGCAGATAACTAACCTGATATTATTAAACCCTACCACAGCTTTAATCTTCCCAAGTAACAGTTCTCAATTTATATAGATGAATAGATTATGAATTATTAAAGAAAGAAGGCATTTTAATCATATGTGTTATTCCAAACACCTAGCCTAATACTTAGTCAATATGGAAATGATAAAGCATTGTGTAGCTGATCTGATTGTAACCTTATGTTGATCCATGTTTCTGTTATCTCAAGTAATGATTAACTGTGGAAGAATTTCTTTGAAGCAATAGAGCCTTTTTTTTAGCATTTCTTTTGATATTCTTAAAGCTGCTTTATTAGAATGCCATCCACTCTGTCCACTTCATCTACCCACCCCCAAGCCCACGGAAAATAGTTTCTCCTGAGGGCTACAACACATCAACACATAAACAAATATTTATGTGCAGATGTTAACTTCCATTCTGAACTCAAGACTGGTAAAGTCTCCAAAGCCTGTACTTGAAGGTAAGGTGGGCCTAGCAGTCTGGCAGGCTGATGACACTGAACTCCATCCCAAAATAATATCTGGGTTGGTGCATAGCGCATATCTCCAGGGAAGTAGTTGTGCCTGTCTTGGGCTTAGATATTCATGCATTAGCACACCCCAAAATAATAAGGCATGACCTAGTGAAAAGGCATTAGCATTGTGGGGGTTCACTGCTTTTCAATCTTTATGTTAATTAAGCTACTAACTTAGATTGAAGGGTGTAATTGTATCTTTTTTATAGTGGGAAGTGGCTTTACACACATGCACAAGGAACTTCTTATCCAAAGGGTATGTGCCTGCCGTATTATTCCTCCAGTGTCGTTAAGGTGGGCTGTGTTTTATTTATATTATCTAATCAGAGAGTTTGAATTAAATTTCTGTAATTTCCTACGGCTAATTAAAAGGGACCACATATGCTCTATGTCATATATTCTCAAGATATATAATGAAGAAACTGGCATATTCCCTTTATCAAATAGGCATAGAAATGTTATGTAAAAAACAAAGATGAGTAATGAAGGTAAACCTCTGCTGTGCAGAGCTTAAAAGATAGAAACATAGAAAGATTATGCACATGGAATACAGTTATTTATAGAGACATGTATAGAAAACTTGATGGCTGATTTAGCAAATGAGGATAATTATTCTTGTACTGATAGAAAACATATAAACAACTTAATATATCACATCAAGACAGTCTTGCAGTTCATTTTTGGAATGATTAGACCTACAAATTAGTGACCCCACTTGTGTATCTGATTCTTCCTCAAATCACTGAGCTTCTAGCAAATGCTGCCCTGTCTATGACATTCTTAAAAAAATGTCAAGATTTAGAATTAATTCCTTTAGTGCCTCTGGTTAGTTGTTGCTATGCCCAGCCCTGTCTTATTAAGACTGACAACTTAAAAATTAGTACTTATTAAAATGACTAAATAACCTATTTATGGTATGATTAGTTATGCCTATGTCTATGCCTTTGTCTATGGTATTTTAGCAAAATAAATGTTGCATAGTAGTGTCAATCTAATACAACAGAGTAACAACTACTCCAACTGGGATACTCTAAGTAATCCAGTATACATTTTACTCTTCTTATTTATTAGATCAAATGACCAAATCAGGGATATAATAGCTTTATAGAAAATTGATATCCAACTCCTCTTTGGAAATTAAAATTTTGTCATTAATATACAAATTAAAATATGAAATAGAAGTACAGTCTGAGGTAACAACCAACTCTGCCATGGATTAACTCTCTGAATTCCAAGTTTTCCCCACAATGAGGATTTCATAACAGTATTGCTCAGTGTGAGACTATAAATTGAAATCAATTTATAGTCAAGCACTGGGGATATTTTTGTGTTTATCTCCTTTGAATATCTTATACAGAGTAGGTAACCTAATAATACTTACTTTATAGGCTATTGTTAGGTGCTGTTGAGTCAGTTTCAACTCATAGCAATCCTACGCACAACAGAACAAAGCACTGCCTGGTCCTGAGCCCTCCTCACAATACTTGCTATGCTTGATTTTGAAGGATAGTATTAGTTAATATTTTCAGCTGTCTATAAAGAGTCTATGTAAATCCAACAATTGCTGTTATTGTGCTATAAAGTAGAATTTCAAATTTCAAAAGCACTAAGGCAACTTTAAGGGTCATTGTTCAACCTCATTATATAATTAAAGAAACTGAGGCATAGAGAAGGGAGGTAACTAAGTTCCCATTCTCTTAGCTAGCTACTAGAAACTAGATCAGTCAACCCACTAGTTCAAAGCACTATGTACTACAGTGTGCTATCCTTTAGAAACTTCTAATACACTGTTCTTTGCTTCAGGATCTCTTACCTGACCTAAATATAGCTGCAAACAGAATTGCCCATCAGTTGGGGCATAGCCTTGGGATGCAGCATGATGAATTCCCATGTGTCTGTAACTTTGGAAGATGTGTAATGGATAGCAGTGGAAGGTAAGGCTCAAATAATATGGAAAATACATTCCATGTACACATTAGCAGATACATTTAAATAAATTTAATGTATTTAAATGACTTGTGAGTAAAATTCCATATTGTGGGACTATATCATTATTCAGTAGATTTTTTTCAAGTATACTCTGGAAGATTACAAAACCAGATATGGCAAGGAGTTTCCTTTTTTGGATTGAATCTCATCAGTGCCTTTGTCTAATGATATGGTGAGAGAGATTCTAAAACTCCATCTGGGCATATTGCAAAAGTACACTATGACAGATTGCTAATATCCATACAAGGACATTTAGGGGAGAATTATACTTCCCATGCCTTGTTTGGTCATCTTTACTGTAACCTACAACTTCTTTCTTCTTCAAATCTTTACTTAGATGTCTGTCTCTGCAAGGCTTTTCTTGGCCACTTTATCCAACTTTTCAATCCTGTCTATCACACACATATCCTGGAACTTTCCATTGTCTTTTGGTTGTTTGTTTCTCCTTAGTATTTATCTCTATCTAATATATTTTATATATTTTTCTTATTTATCTTGATTCATGAGGCCAGATTTGTGTTTGTTTTATTCACTGTTATATTACCACAATCTAGAAAAGTCTCAGGAACATCTTGTTGTTATTAGTTGCCTTTGAGTAGGACCCTGACTCAGGGTGACCTTAAGCACAACAAAACTAAACACTGCCTGATCCAACACCATCCTCATGATAAGTTGCAGATATTACCATTGTGGTACACAGAGTTTTCATTGGCTGATTTTCAGAAGAAAATCTAGACCATTCTTCCTAGTCCCTCTTACTCTGGAAGCTCTGTTGAAACCTGCTTAGCCTCATAAAACCAAAAACCAAACTCACTGCCATTGAGTTGATTCCAACTCATAGGGACCTCCATTAGGTTTCCAACGCTGTAAATCTTTAAGGAAGTGGATCGTCTCATCTTCCTTCTGTAGAGCAGCTGGTGGGTTTGAACTGCTGAACTTCTAGTTAGCAGTCAATGCCTTATCCACTACACCACCAGAGCTCAGCATCATAGCAACACACAAATCCATTGCCACCAGGTGGATTCCAACTCATAAGGTATCTATAGAACAGAGTAGAACTAACCCGTAGACTTTCCAAGGCTATAATCTTTATTGAAGCAGATTGCCACATCTTTTTTCTATGAAGCTGCTGATGACTTCAAACCATCCACCTTTCAGTTAGCAGCTGAGTGATTAACCACTGTGCCACCAAAACTTCAGCAACACACACATTTCCAGTAGCAGGGTAGTGGTCTTGTATGAAAGGCATTGGCCAATATTGAACCTGGGTCTCCTGCATGGAAGCAGAGAATTCTATCACTGAATCATCACTGACCCCTAGGCACATGTTAGGTGCTCCATGAGTAATTACAGAATGAATGAATGCCCAGAATCTCATATTATATTGTATGTATTTTGTAGTCAGGCCCTAAGTCTTACTCATCTTCACAGTACCTAACATAGTGCATTGTATATCATAGGAATAGTGTCTGTTAAATGTGATAAAGTAGCTAAAATACTCAACACAGTGACTGTAATAAAGCAGGCACTCAGTAACCAGCATCACGTTTTACATCATTATCCACACAATTAGTAATTTTTTTTGGGGGGGAGGGGCAGGTATCATAATCCCAAGCTAATAAAATCAAGACTATATGCAATATGTTTCCAAACATTGTGTCAATACAATATCAAAACTGAAGAAAGGTGGAAAGGGTGTAAACATTTCAGTTTGAAAGAAGTATACCACATTCCTGAGATGTTTAAAAGATCTCTGGTGGCATAGAGCCTGAGGCATTTGACTGCTAAACAGAAGGCTGGTGGTTCAAACCCATCAGCCACTCCTCAGAAAGAAGATTGGTCAATCTACTTCCATAGTGATACTGCCTCAGAAACCCAAGGAGGGGTCATTATGAGTCAGATGTTTAAGATATTATTAAATAAGTAATTTGGTTCAACAAATATTTTTAGAAGACTATTCTGTGTCAGGGACCATGTTAACTCCACAAAAACCAAATTCACTGCCATTGAGTCAATTCTGATTCACAGTGACCCTTGGGTTTCCAAGGCTGTAAATCTTTACAGAAGCAAACTGCCTCATCTTTCTTTCATGGAGCAGCTGCTAGGTTTGAGCCACCAACATTTTGGTTACCAGCCAAATGCCTTAACCACTATACCACCAGAGCTCTTTATTAACTAGTGGTAACTATAAAAAATATTCCTGCTTTGCGAAGCTTAATAAAATCTTGTAGAGGTGATTTAAAAAAATATATAAGTTATTGAAACAGAGATAAATCAAAGGCAATATGGGAGCAGCAAACACAATCAGTCTTAAACTGCAGGCTTCAGAAAAGGTTTCCTGGAGAATATATAGCCAGAGCATTGTCACTAAAATAGCATGTATTGGTTTGTGTCAGTTATTATTATTATTTTTTTCTATAATAAAGAACCCAGTTGCTGCTCTGCTGTAACAGGAAAGGCAAATGTAAATGATGTGAACTTTCAGAGTTTATCAGTTATAATTGCTATTTACATTTTCTTCAAAAATGTTCACAGTTGTTATACTACTACGCTTTATTATTATTAATGTTTATTTTTAATTCATCTCATCTCTAGCATTCCTGCAGTAAAATTTAGTAAATGCAGCAAAAACCAATACCTGAAATACCTGAAGGATTATAAACCAACATGCATGTTGAATATTGTGTTTTCCGATAAGTCAAATGATTTTCCATATTGTGGAAATAAGAAGCTGGATGAAGGAGAAGAGTGTGATTGCGGCTCTGCTCAGGTATCTGAAAATGATGTTGCCTTTAAATTACAAACTTTATACTCAACTAGAACCCAAGCAAGGATATAGCCAATCATGGTGTTCCTTATAAAGCTTTAGAAATGGTACATTTTGTTTTCATTTGGAAATATGTTGTTGATGTAGCCTCACTGCAAGCCTTTTTACCAAGTGATGAATCGTATATATAATGATCTTGCTGGAGGTCAACAGCATCCTATTTGCTTTTTTTATATATTAACTGGCTCTTCTTGTGAGAAAGACCCATAGGTGTTATTAAGTCTAATTGCTCATGCCCAGTAGGAAACTGTTCTATAAAACCTCTTACAGTCAGTCGTTTGAGTTTAACTCAGGGCCTTATGAGCTAGCCTATATCACAGCAGGATAGTTCAAGTTATTAGAAAACTCTTTCTTATTAGACCAAAAACCTTTTAACCTGTCAACTATTTATTGAAGACAGTTTCTGGAACATTTTGAATAAACCTTTGAGGTAAATGTTAAAGTAATTCTTAATCTGTAACACAAAAACTATTCCTTTCAAGAACTGGCCACATAATATGTGTCCTAGACAGCTACTTCTCAAATTCTAACATGCATATGTATCACCTAGAGATGTTAAAATGTGGATTCTGATTCACAAAATCTAGAGTGGGGTTGAGATTCTGTATTTCTAACAAGTTCCAAGGTTATGCTGATGCTACTTGCCTGAGGACCATAGTTTTAGTACATAAGCTCTATATACTGCACAATCCAAAAGAAGTCTAAAAGAACAGTGAGTTAGACTCCAGGGCCAGAGTTTATGCAGTGATCAGAGAGTTTATATGAAGATTGTGACCTGTTTAGAGGTCACAAGACCTAGACTTCAAATGTTTGAATTGTACACATGAAAAATTTTGAATTGTCAATTGTGTTCTTTACATTTTTACAATAAAAAAAAACTGATAAAAAAATGTTTCAGCTGTGAAAATAAAACCTTTTGTTTATTCTTTGGAAAAGTTGTATAATTTCATTCTAATACATAAAATCCCCTACTTGACCAGACTCAGATAATTTTCTTTGTAGCTTTAATTTTATTAGAATAGATAGGGCCTACGTGGACATGTGGAGTAATTAGTCAGTGATACACTGAAAAAAGAAAGTTCATTTCAAAATACTTGGAGTCTGGAGCAAAACTTAAAATCAGATCCTCAGAAGCTGTATTATCTCACAACAGATCTTTGTTATAGGAAAGCAATGGAATGAAAATCATTAGAAAAATGGAAGGTCACAAACATTGGGCTCTGTTTTTTCCCATGAGAATCCATTAGCCATGGAGTAGGGGATAGCCGTGAAGGAAGGGAACACAGAGTAAAAGTCACAAACACTAGTTCCAAGCAGTGGTCTTTATACATTTATCATAGCCAAAGATCATCCCTTTTCATTTAACTCTTGTTGTTGTGGTTGTGATGTGCCCTCGGGTCAGACCCAACTCATAGCTACCCCTTCTTGAGTTTCTGAAGCAATATCACTACAGAAATAGATTGCCCCATCTTCCTTCCGAGGAGTGGCTGGTGGGTTTGAACCGCCAGCCTTCTGGTTAGTAGTCAAGTGCCTTGGGCACTATGCTACCAGAGCTCTTCATTTAGCTCTTAGAGGTAAGTAATGTTAAATTACATAGACACAGATCTAATTAACTGATCAAACAGGAGCCAAATTACACACCAATTCCTATCTTTCATTTTTTATTATTGCCAAGGAATGCACTAATCCTTGCTGTGATGCAGAAAAATGTGTGTTGAAGCCAGGATTTACCTGTGCAGAAGGAGAATGCTGTGTATCCTGTCAGGTAAGGTTTTATCTGTGGGATAGAACTTCTCTGTTCATTAAGTACACATAGGACAAAAGAGTTCTGTGACCACTGAACCCTACACCACTGATGCCAGAATGGGGTTACCAAAACCTCACTGCCTTTATGATAATTCCAACTCATGGTCACCTCCATCGTGTTTCCCAGGCTTTAAATATTTATGGAAGCAGACTGCCTTGTCTTTCTTCTGTGGAGCAGCTGCTAGGTTCGAACCACTGATCATCACAGCTCTTTAGAATGGGGCTAGGTTTGCTAATACCCGACAGAGCCTCTTCTGAGATGCTCTGACTTTTGAGCATTGGACTGTGCTAGGTTCTGGGGAGTGAAGCAGCTGGTGTCACATGGTAAGTACCATTCTTGATCCACTGTCAATCATTCCCAGTCTGTGTAACGTCAGATGGAAAGAAACTTGGTATCCCAACAGCAGTGTGCCAGAAGGGAGAGGGATTATATTGGGATTAGCATGTGATAGAGGCTAATAGTTAGGAAAATATTCCTAAGGAAGATGACCAGAAGTCTAAGTGTCTCTGTCCAAAGATTTGTCAACACTTCTTCCCCAACCTTGCTGTAGACAGTGAATTTATAAGAAAAATGTAAGCATGTCTTATTTATCTTTACATCTCTTCAGAACCCAACACAATTAGATTTATATTGAATGGTTGAATCAGATAATAGCTTGATGTAGTTCCCTGCAACAACGAAAGTCATATTTCTCCAGTTCATTTGGAGAGATCTGATTTCATAGGAATGGAAATCCCATATTATATGAAGAGGTTCCCAGTTATGTGCAGTTGGGTGTGTGTGTGGAGGAGGAGAGAGCAGGATGTACTGGAGCAAAGGATGAAGAGAAGACAAGATGAACCAGAATTTGTCCATTTCTATTCCAACCCTGTCCAAGTTTGGTCTAATACCAAATTTCAAAAACACTCTCTTATCATACCTAAAATTACATACAAGCTAAGGCATTTAAAAATAATAACAAGTAGAATGGAGAAGAAGATTGTGATCTATCCCTAAAGTTTTTTTCAGATAAATTAAACAGGTCAACCTTCTGCCCACCTACTGAAACTTTCCTACCTAAATGTGCCCCGGCTTCAGCCTCTTTGTTTCTCCTCAACAGCTGAAGGAAGCAGGGTCCACATGCAGACCAGCAAAAGATGAATGTGACTTTCCTGAAGTGTGTACTGGCCACTCCCCTAAGTGTCCTAAGGACGAATTCCAAGCAAATGGCTTCCCTTGCAAGAATGAGGAAGGCTACTGCTTCATGGGGAAGTGTCCCACCCGGGATGATCAGTGCTCTGAATTGTTTGATGATGGTGAGAAGAAACAACAGTCCGTGGCTGATAAAATAGCCTTTATTTCTCTGCTATTGTCCTGCAGGAATTTGAGACAAGCTTGGAGATAATGCTATATGTGTGATTCTTCCAAGATATTGTGGAGGATCTCTCTGGATGCAGTTTTCATAACTTTGATCTTCCCTCTACTATGAATTGATTAGCTCAGTATATGGGCTAAGGTGTATTTGTTACCTTTTCATGTCTACACTCCTTACTAAAATGTCCACCTGAAGCAATAGGGTAGCTCTTTATTCCAATTTTCCCATTCTTTTTTAGCCTCACATTGTGTTGAGAATTTAATCATATTAGAAAAGTAACGTCTTTCATGACTCATGATATTCATGCTTTCATTCTTTCATTTTTATCACCCCATGTTGTATTCCAGAAGCAAAAGGGAGTCATGATATCTGCTACAATATGAATAAAAAAGGAGATGAATTCGGATACTGCAAGAACACAAAAAACAGTTTTGTTCCCTGCGAAGAGAGGTAACTTGGTGAAGAAAAGCAAGTGCTCTCAGTGTTTTGTGAAATTAGAATGGCTCCTGGTTTGGCAGCTGCTGGTAGCATAGTGCCTAAGGCACTTGACTGCTAACCAGAAGGCTGTTGGTTCAAACCCACCAACCACTCCTCAGAAGGAAGTTTGGGCAATCTACTTCCATAGAAGTAGGTTTCATAACCTACATCAACCCAAAGAGGGGTCTCTATGAGTCAGGTCCGACTCAAGAGCACATAACATCAACAACAGCAACCTCTTTTTACTGAGGAGATGAGTAAGAGAGTAAAGCAGAGAGAGTGAGAGTATGCATTCCTGACAGGACTAACTGGCATTTGTGTACTGTATTAATAGCCGAAAGCCCTGGAATATAAGTAGGAAAGATGAGGAATATTTCCTCCTTGGGTTTCCGAGGTGGTGTCACTCTGAAAGTAGATTGCTCAATCTTCCTTCCAAGGAGTAGTTGGTCAGTGAACAGCCAGTCTTCTGGTTAGCTGTCAAATGCCTTAGGCACTACGCCATCAAAGTTCCCATTTATTAGCTAAAAGCCCTGGAATATAAGCAGGAAAGATGAGGAACAGCCACTCCTTGGAAGGAAGGTTGAAAAATCTACTTCCTGCCTTGGAAACCCAAGGAGGGGCAGCTATGAGTCGGTTCAGACTCAACGGCAGTGAGTTTTTTGTTGTTGTTGTTTGTTTGTTTGTTTTGGTTAGGAAGGAAAGGGAGAAAAAGAATGCTATGAAAAGAAGGGAAAAGAACAAAAGAGAGGAAGCAAAAATATAAGTCACAAAAGGGAATAGAAGAAGAGGGAATGAAAGAATGGAATCAGAAGAAGGAAGACAGGTAGAAGATGAAATTGGAAGACAGAAGGGTAGAATCAGAAATTAGAGCCTGAATTTGGAAAGCATGAACTGAACCACATGTGCAGGTCTCTTACCAACATTCTGGAAGGCTTTTTATTGTAGGATGTGGAGTGAAAAAGCCAAAAAAAAAAAAAAAAAAAACCCTATGTTCAAGTCACACAATACATAAAAATACTCAGACACTTAACTTTGCTTTCTTTCTGCTGTTGCCATCTATAAAATGAGGGATACAATAATAGTAACCTCATAGGTTCATTGTGAGAATCAACTGATGTATTTGGTGCAAAAAGAGTAAGGAAATCTTTGTGGTATGACTAAAGTTATTATCAAATTACTGAAAATAAATTTTCATTTCTAAACTTGAGCTAATACTGATTTGTGAGAATCACTGAGAAGAAATCAAAAAGAAATATAATTTGTTTCTGCACTTTACCTGCTCATCTCAGTTCCCAAGGTTAGAACTTTGATGGTACAACTGTTTATCTGGCTCTCCTGGCCCCTCTTCAACCTACCGACAAGCCTGGGTCTAAAAAAGTTACCAGGACACTTCACTGCCAGACTAGCCTCTGAAAGCTTATTTCTGGCCCTCAGTCTGCTAATATGTTCATTTTCGTTCAGGAATGTCAAATGTGGAAAGATATACTGCACTGGAGGACAACATTCACCTCACTGGGGAGAATATAAGACCTATCACCTTCAGGTTCCAAAGAAGAACACAACCATCGAATGTAGAACCTTTTTTCTGTACCGTAATTCTGAAGATGTTGGCCTGGTGGCTCCTGGAACAAAATGTGGACATGGGATGGTAAGATGAAAAGTCCATTATTCTACTAAAACTTTCAGCCACTCAAAAGAAAATCATTGATACTAGAGGGTCAATATATTAGAAAACAGGAAAAATATTGTTTTTGTTTTGTTTTGTTATTGAGCCAAGTAACAATTATACTATACTGAATACTCATTTTGCCTAATCTTAATGACATTTAATTGTTATAAATGCACTTAATTAATATCTTACAGAAGACATCTAATTAACTCTGAGCATTTTTTTTTCTAAATAATGAAACTCTACAGAGTCATACATTCTTTATTTTTTTACTCAATCGTATGTAATGAGCATGTGCTATGGTGCAGCAACTGTGCTATGCACACAGGAAGTAGAGATCAGTTGACTTGAGGATTTCAAAGATTAAATAGAGATTACAACTCAACAGAAATGCTTTTGTAGTGGTCTGACCAAGGTGTATTTGGAGTCCAGACAAAAAAAGGACCAATTTGCTTATAGAACATGGAATAGCATCTTAAATCAGGTGACATTTCAGCTTTGAGGAACAAGATTTTTCCACACACATAAAATGGGAAAAGAGTTTTCATAAAGAAACAGCCATATTATATGCAAAGGCAAATTGTTTATGACATATTTAGATAAATGTGACAATTTTGTTGTGAGTAAGGCTTTGAGTGAAATGGCAAGGGATGATGTTGAACAAGTAAAATGAAGCCAGATTGGAAAGGGCTTATATTGCCAATGTGACAACTTTAAAATTTATACTGTAAACATCAAGGTTTATAAACAGAAAGATAAATATATATATGTATGTGTGTGTATATATATATGTGTGTGTGTGTGTATATACACAGGAGCTCTGGTAGCATACTGCCTAAGGCATTTGACTGCTAATAAGAAGGTTGGTGGTTCAAACCCACCAGCCACTCCTCAGAAGGAAGATTGGGCAATCTACTTCCGTAGTGATATCGCCTCGGAAACCCAAGAAGGGGTCGTTATGAGTTGGATCCGATTTGATGGCACATAACAACAACAACATATATATACACACACACATTTAGTGTGTTTTTTATACATGTGTATAAAATAAATATAAATATATATGTGTGTATATATATATAAAACAAAAGTTATTTAAAATTAAGTGGATTCTCTCTATAGTATGTCTTCCTCTCTCTCTACACCACAACCCACAAACATGACAGATATGACAGTTGCATTCATATAATGTGATAGAGAAGTGAAATGTGCAACAAAAATTCAGAATAGAAAAAAAGTATTAGCATTTAGTAACCTACAGGAAATTTCTTCTTAGAGGGAAGGTTGGAAAATCTACTTCTGTAGTGATACTGCCTCGGAAACCCATGGAGAGGTGGCTGTAAGTCAGATCTGACTCCACAGCAGTGAGTTTTTTTATATTAAACTATACATTTCCTTGTCAAAAGAGAACCTACAGATTGGGAAAAAATATTTGGTAATAACATATCTGACAAGGGACTTATCTCCAGAATTTATAGAACACTCCAACACCTCAGTAACAAAAAGACAAACAATCCAATTAAAAAATGGGCAGAAGACATGAA